TTGTCTGTTCCCAGAGTGGTCTCCGTAGCCCAGACACCCACAAAGATTCACAGAATTGGATTGGGAAGAGAAGGGGAAAGGAGGAAATAGAGGTGTTCTGAGGTAGAAAACGGAGAGTCAAGATTGGGAGAGAGTAATCAACACACTCCTGAATAAAAATGGGAACTGAATATTGGATTCTTAAATGTCCACAATTTATATCATATACTGAAAAACAAAGATTAAAAATCTAGAGTAGAGGTTAGACTCTTAAGAATACAATATTAAAAACAAAAACAAAAAATTTTAGAAATATATATGAAGTTCGATTTTAAAATAGGGCTTCTCTCTTTTTTTTTTTGCAAGGTTATAGTGTAATGAAAATGAAAATTAAGGAGTAGTAGAGGAGTAATAGAGGACTTTAAAAGGAAATAAGAGAAAAAGAAAAATGAAGAGAAAAAGGAAAAAAAAAAAATTTTTCCCTAATTAAAAAAATCGTAAAAATCTATGAAAATGAAAGTTAAGGAGTAATGGGAGAGTAATAGGGAATTTTAAACGAAAATAAAAGAGAAAAAATATAAAAGAAAAAAATTTTTTTAATTAAAAAAAAAAAAAAAAACTAAAAATATATCTAGGAATTTCTCTGGAGCTGTTGTGGTCAGTGTGGGTTCGGTTCAGTTTCAGATAGCTCCGCGTTCCAGCTTACACGTCTCGATATCTACAGGCCCCTTACGGTGTAGTCGGTGTTCTCTACAGGGATTTTAATCTGTTGCACCGGTCCCTTCTGAAGCGGTTCCCTTTGTTTATTTGGCTTCTGTTTGCCGGTCTGTTCAGTGCCTACTTTCCGCCCTGACACAGGCAAGCGGAGATGGACTCTTATTCAGGTTGCTAGTTCCATTGCGCTGCGGGGAGGGACTGGCCCTGCTTTCTCCGTCTACGCTGCTCAGGCTCCCGGCTGCTCTATATTGAGCGTACCCTGCGCTGCGCGCGGTTCCAGCCCTTGGGTGTTCAAAGCACGGACTCGGCTGCGCCTGCGTTCCATGCCCTCCCCGCCCGAGCGGCTCAGGCAGCCAGGAGCTTGACGGGCGCACTCTGCCCAGGTGTGGCGTGCCTTCTCCCCTCCGCGGTCCCAGCCTCAGCTTCCGCCAGCGCCAGTCAGGTGCGTGCGCTTTCTCCCCTCCACGTCTCTAGCCCCAGTCCCCGCCCATGCCGGTCAGGTGCATGCGCTCTGTGTCTCGCCACGACCCTCCCGGCGGATGTCGACCATCCAGAATCTCAGGAAGTCTTTGATTAGAAACTGGAGGCCTGTTTGCAGTGCCGTAGGGGATGCGGTCCTTGGGGCCGAGCCTGCCCCTTTCCCCTCCCCCCTGCCTCCTGCCTCCGGCAGGGCTGGGCCAGTCCGCAGCCTGCGAGCTCTTCTCTGGACTTGCTCAGAGCCTTTGTTCTGCGAACGGCCAGCAGTGTGTTCCGGCCAGTTAATTTTCTCTCTCTCTCTTGCTATCCCACAGTTTAAGTTGGTAACTCACAAAAGCTCCCTCCGACTGTCCTCAGGGCACTCAGGCCCAGTCCTTACCCTAAGCAATGCCGCCCGCTCCTCTCCGTTCCACCCACACTTGCTGGTGGCGGATGCGGGCGTCTGGGGTACTTTTCTGCTGGGAGTTGCTTTTAGGCACATAATCTGTGGGTTTTATCTATTCTTCCCCTCCCAGTTAGGTTGCCCTCCGAGATTCAAAAACTTCCCCCAGACCCGCCAGTGCGAGGGTTTCCTGGTGTTTGGAAACTTCCTCTATTAAGACTCCCTTCCAGGGACGGATCTCCGTCCTTAGCTCTTTTGTCTCTCTTTTTATCTTTTATATTTTGTCCTACCTCCTTTCAAAGAGAATGGGCTGCTTTTCTGGGAGCCTGATGACCTCAGCTAACGATCAGAAGTTGCTTTGTGAAGTTTGCTCTGCGTTCAGTTGTTCTTTCGATGAATTTGTAGGGGAGAAAGTGGTCTCCCCATCCTATTCCTCCGCCATCTTGGCTCCTCCGACATGGACATCTTTGAGGGGCCATCATTCAGCCTACCATCCTGACCTGGTCACCTCTTCTGGAGCCCCCACAAATTGCTCGTTTCTATCTGACCCAAGGGCTTTCTCTTTTGTTTCTTCAGACAAAGGAACCATTTCTTTCTACCTCGGGGCCTTTGCACTTGCTGGTCCTTCTGCCAGGGATATCCTCCCTTCCTCTGGTATTCCAAGGGCTGACACTCCGATGTTGGCCCAGTGGTCATCTCTCTTGAGAGGCCTTCCCTGGCCTTGGGAGTCTCAACCAGCTGCCCCCTCGCCCTCTGCTGTGCCCCCCAGCGTAATTCCCTGAGGACCTCTGATCAGCAGCTGATGCTTTTCCTCATGGCCTTATTTTCCTGGGGTCCCCACAACAGTGTGCACTACCCAAGGACACGTCTTGTCCTTCCTGCTCACTGCTGCCACTAACGCCGAGCACACAGCAGCTCCATTCATGTTCCCTCTGGGCTCGGCCTCGGGACCTAGTCCTGCCGCGGGGCCTGAGAATTCTCTCTTCCCCTTTCTCAATTTCACTTCTGTGTGTTTCACTTTTTTATTTTTTTTAAAAAAACTTTTTCTCTTATATTGGAGTATGGCTGGTTAACAATGTTCTGATAGTTTCAGGCAGACAGCAGAGTGACTCAGCCATATGTATACACGTATTCATTTTCCCCCAAACTCCACATGCAGGCTGCCACATAACATTGAACAGAGTTCCCTGTGCTATACAGTAGGTCCTTGTTGGTAATCCATCTTATTTATTTTTGATTTTATTTAGTTATTTAGGCTGTGCTGGGTCTTCGTTGCTGCACGGGTTTTTCTCCAGTTGCAGTGCACAGGCTTCTCATTGCGGTGGCTTCTCTTGTTGCTGAACATGGGCGCTAGGGCGCAGGGCTTCAGTGGTTCTGGTTCCTGGGCTCCAGAATGCAGGCTCAATAGTTGTGGCACATGGGCTGAGTTGCTCTACGGCATGTGGGATCCTCCCAGATCAGGGATTGAACCGGTGTCTCCTGCCTCGGCAGGTGGATTCTTTACCGCTGAGCCACCAGGAAAGTCCGGTAATCCATTTTAAACATAGCAGTGTGTATACGTCAGTCCCAAACTCCCTAACTATCCCTTCCCCCCCCACCCTTTCCTACTTTTTCATTCTTGAGTCACTTCTCACTTGAGGGATGCAGAAAGCAGCAAGACATGCAGGTCATTTCCAGGCAAAGAAGGAAATGACCTATCGGGCCTGAACCCCATGAGGCTGGCCAGGGGTCACAGCTGCGCTGCCTCTGAGTTAGGACAGCTTCCTGGCAGGGCTCTCAGCTCCCCGTGCCTTTGTTCACTGCCCTCCTCCTTCCCGGAGCAGCTGTCCTTCTCACAGCCCACCTCAAAGGGCATCAGATCCCTTTCGGTTCAACCGCCTCATTTAGGACTGAGGAAATGGACCCAAAAGCCTTCCCAGGCACACAGCACTTGCTCTCCAGGCACTGTCCCACCCCAGCCCTGCAAGCCCTCTTCCTCCCGGGCCATCAGCAGGGGCCACAGGGATGCTGGGTGCTAAGATCAGCAGGCCCAGGAGCCAGTCTACAGACACCCTCAGCCATCATGGAGGACAGCCTGGCGCCACCATCTCAGAGAAAATGTTACTAGAGTTTAGAAACTTCCTGTGCTGTGCAGAATCCAGCCCCTCCCTCCAGCCAGGGCAGGAGACGGCCAGGGTGGTGTCCTCCCACCCAGCACCCCGTGGGTCCCTCCCTCTCTCCAGATGAGAGCCCTGGTTCTCCCACGCAGCACCCCTCTTACTCTGAACCTTCCCGGGAGCCGCAGGTCAGTCACACGGGGCCCAGCATGGGTATAGGCTGAGGGGTCAGGGCTGAGAGGGCACAGTGACACCCTCCATAGGGCAGTGAGAAAATCCCCCTTCCTTTTGGAACTCAGGGTGAAGCCAGGCCCTCTCTCTGCGTGACCCCAGATTCCTCATCCAGGGTGATCCCACACCCCAAGGGTTGCCTTCGATGGGATCTTTTGCTTAAAATGACCTTGTCCTGAGTTTCACGTTCTTCCGTCTCTTTCCTTAAATTCTTAATAACTTTTGTAAAAGGGACCCCATGTTTCTACTGTGTACTGGACCCCACACACTATGAAGCTGGTCCTGTAAGCCCAGCCTCTCAACACTCCCATCCCACCCTACCCCTGCTCTCGTGACAGCTCCTAAGCTGATCACCAACTGTAAGCTCCGGGTCTGGTGAGGGCCTGACCCTCTGGGTTAAGACATCCAGCTTTCTTAAGAGCCTTCTGAAGACAGCATCAAAGCAGCGCTGCCACAGGGGTTCTTGGGCCAGCCGGGGGGCATATTTGCTCAGACAAGCCTTTAAATCCCACCCCACAGCAGGTGCTAGGACAAGAGAAAGCAGAAAGAAAAAGCAGGAACTTTGGGGCCAGGCCAACTCAGTTTGAGTTTGACTCTGCAGCTTAGAGTCTGGGTGAGCTGGGAAATGTTACTAAACCTCTTTTCCTCAGCTTATCTATAAAGTGAGGGCTATACATACCCACCTCCAGGGTTATTGGGAGAATTAAGTGATATAATACATATAAAGTTGATATTTATCATTCTGGTGACATTTTAATTTTTTTATGACATTTATTGATAAATGTCGGCTGTTGAGGTCAGACAACTGGGCTCTAGGCTCAGTCCCACCATTGACTCCAGTGTGAACGTCACATGTCTGTGCCTCAGATTTCCCAACATGTGAAATGAGGATAAGCTGGGTGTCCCCTGCACAAGGCTCCGGGAGCTCTCGCTCACATCAGCATCACCCACTCCTCCAGAAAATCTCCCCTACAGCTCTCCTTTGGGCTCCCCGTCACCCACGCTTGCTTCCCCACCAGCACATGTGACCCTTAAGAAGGAGTTGTTTCCATGTCCGCCCTCCCCTCTTGGACTGGGAGCTCTGTGGGGGCAGGAACAGGCTGTGGTTCTGCTGGTCTGAGCAGAGTGGAGGACGAAGGGTTAAACAGTTCAGTGCTCCCTGAGAGATGCTCGCACCCACACGACCTGATGGCATCTCCCCTTTTCCCTCAGACCCAGCCTTCCCTCCTGGGAAGATGCAGGTACTCATGATGCTGCTGGCCACAGGGGCCACCTACTACCTGGGCCTGCTGGCAGCAGCTGCAGCAGCCGTCAACTCTGGCCAACCCGACACCCCTGGCTCGCTGCCCGCTCACCGGCGCCAGAAGAGAGACTGGATCTGGAATCAGATGCACATTGACGAAGAGAGAAATGACTCGCTGCCCCATTACGTGGGCAAGGTAAGCCTCGGGCCCTGGAGCAAGAGAGGCCTTGGCGGCAGGCAGCCCACAGCATTGGTGGTGATGGGAAAGACTCTGATGGGGTGGTGGTGGCTGTAGGGTTGGAGATGATGGCTGTGAGGGTGGTGGTCATAGTGGGAGAGACAGTGGATGTGGTGGAGGAAGTGACTAGGAGAAACGAGGCAAGGAGAAAGCGGTGGTGGTGGTAATTGGGAAGGGGAAGGTGGTGGGGGCGATGATGATGATCGTGGAGGTGATGGTGGTAGTGGAGATGACGGTGGTGGTGGAGGTAATGGTGCACACAAGGGTTCGTTTTCTCCCAGCCTTTGGTCTGTGGCACCCCATGCACAGCTGAGGAGGCCAGTGTAGTCTGAGGGTTCAGGGCTTAGCATGGGACCAGTCAAGGCTGCTTTAAATCTGCCCATCTGAGAGGTCTTCAGGACCTGAGCAGACATCTACAAAATTGTGCAGGTGACAAAGATCATCATCCAGGCCACAGTTTGCCATCTCTAGTCAAGGCCTTTGAGCTCCTCAAAACCCCCTTTGTCTCAGGCCATCCACTCCCCAGATTCTAAGACAGCCGTAACAAGGTGCCTGACCCAAGCCTGCCCTCCAAGGCAGGGTCTATGACCCTAACCCTCACTTCATCCCTTTGCAAACATGTCCATCCTCAGTCACCTTCCTAGGGCTTGAAGCTACACTGAGTAACTAATGAACTATCTTCCTGTGTCAAAGGACTGCTGATGTCAAAACCACTCCATTGAAAGGAGAGGCTCTAGTGGTGGAATTTCACCCATGACAACAGGGAGATGGGTTAGGTATCCCAAGAGTTTTCACTGAGGAGAAAAACTCCATTCAAGTGCTTTAAAATCTCACCATGTCAGTTTCCTGGAAGCTAAGCAGGGTCAGCTAAAGAAAGATCAGTGCCCTGGTGAGAGGAGGGGTGGTCCCAAGCACAGACCGGGCTCTAGAAGACAACGGGGGGCAAAGACAGAGCTACTCACCCTCACAGAGCTTGTGATTTAAAACAGGGGTTGGCCACATATCAACCAGTGAAGTTAGGACACTCCCTCACACCACACTCAAAATGATTTATTACAGACTTAAATATAAGACATGACACCATAAAACTCCAAGAAAGAGAACATAGGCAAAACATTCTCTGACATAAATCACAGCAATGTTTTCTTAGGTCAGTCTCCCAAGGCAAAAAAAAATAAAAGCAAAAATAAACAAAAGGGACCTAATCAAACTTTACAAGCTTTTGTGCAGCAAAGGAAACCATAAACAAAAAGACAACATAGAAACTGGGAGAAAATATCTGCAAAAGATGTGATAGACAGGGGCTTAATTTCCCAAATACATAAACAGCTCATATAGCTCAATATTAAAAACAAAAACAAAACAAAAAACCAAAAAACCAAGCCAATCAAAAAATAGGCAGACGACCTAAGTAGATACTTCTCCAAACAAGACATACAGATAGCCAACAGGCACATGAAAAGATACTCAATATCGCTAATTATTAGACAAATAGAAATCAAAACTACACCTCATACCAGTCAGAATGGTCATCAGCAAAAAGTCTACAAACAATAAATGCTGGAGATGGTGTGGGGGAAAGGGAACCTTCCTTTACTGTGACTGGGAATGTAAAATGGTGCAACCAGTATGGAGAACAGCATGGAGGTTCCTTGAAAAGCTAAAAACAGAGTTACTCTATGAGTCAACAATCCCACTTTTGGGCATATATCCAGAAAATATGACAACTCTATTTCAAAAAGATACATCCAACCCAAAGCTCACAGCAGCACTGTTTGCAATAGCCAAGACATGGAAGCAACCTAACTGTCCATCAACAGATGGATAAAGAAAATGTGGAGATACGCATGTATATGTGTGTGTGTGTGTGTGCCATAAAATGAATGAAACACTGCCATTTGCAGCAACATGGACAGACCTAGGGGTGAGCAGACTACGTGAAGTCAGACAGAGAAAGACAAATATCATATGACATCACTTATATGTTAAATCTAAAAACATGATATAAATGAACTTAATTACAAAACAGAAACAGACTTACATAGAAAACAAACTTATGATTACCAAAGGGGAAAGACCGGAGGAATAAATTAGGAGTTTGGGGTGAGCAGATACAAGCTATCATATATAAAACAGACAAATAGCAAAGTCCTACTGTATAGCACAGGGAACTATATTCAGTAGTTTGTGATAACCTATAATGGAAAAGAATCTGAAAAAGTGTGTGTGTGTGTATATATATAGTGTGTGTGTATATATATCACTCTGCTAAACACTAGAAACTAACACATTGTAAATCAGCTGTATTTCAATTAAACAAACACATACATAAATAGGGGCTGAGGGAACTGCCCCACCACATGGTTTTGAAAGTGAAGTTGTGGTTGCCTTCATGCTACAATGGCAGATTTGAGAAATTGTCCAAAGACCATATGACCCACAAAGTCAAAAATTTTTACTATCTGGCCCTTCACAGGAACAGTTTGCCCACCCTGGTCTAGAAGGGCAGCATGTATTAGACAAAGAGCCTCACACATGCCAGATGGGGCTCCCTGTGATTATAGAGAAACAGGCCAGAAAGGATCTTTAAATAGGGGAGGGTTCAGTCTGGCCCTGGTACCAGAAACGCCCCAGAAGGTGGCAGTGAGGGCCAGCTTGGGAATCTCCACTCCCAGCCCTGCCCAAGGCCAGCTCCCTGGGCCCAGGCCTCCTCTGGCCACAAAGAATGGCTAGGAAATTTAGATCTTTCAGTCTGCCTTCAGAGGGGAAGAAGCTTGCCCCAGGGTCACACAGTGAAACCAGAAAAACCCCAGGAAAGCGTAGGGCTCCTGACTTCCCACACTAGAGGCAAATGTCGTCAGACCACCTACTCCTCCCCCGTGGGATGACTGGGCCATGAATCATCTTCCAAAGAGAATGGCTGCCCCCAAGGAATACCGTTGAGCTGAGTCAGGAACAGTCAGCAGAAAGCGGGGCTACGAGCAGCCCTGACAGACTCGGAACAGCTCGCCTGAGGCTCTTTGCCCAGCAGGAGGAGCATCAGGCCTTCTAGTCACCTGCCACCAGCACGCACTTGGCACCTGGTATGGGGCAGGGGGCGGGAGGGAGCCCCGTGGAATCCCCACTCTGGGAAGCAGCAAGGCTGCCCGGAAAAGGCAAGGACAGGGCTCCAAGGCTCACCTCCTCGCTCCAAAGACATCATCTGAGGGAAGGAAGTCCCTCTTTATCAAGATCAGAGCCACGGAGCCTTTGTTTACAGAGCTGTTTGCTGGACAATAGGAATGAGACCTGGGCCGCCTTCTGAATTCACAAATATGGGTCAGCATAGCTTTTGGCATTGAGAGGTCACATCCAAATGTAGTGATAATTTTTAAAAGGGGAAGACCCCCCAAAACCTATAACCTCAGTCTGTTTAATCATGAGCAAAACAACCTCTAGTAGGGGGCATCTGACAGAACGCCCGAGCAGCAGTCCTCAGAGCTCTCAAGGTCATCAAAAACAAGGAGAGTCTCATAGAGAAAATGAGCTTTTGCTACCAAAGAGGAAAGTGGGGTAGGTGTGGGGGAGATGACTTAGGAGTTTGGGATTAACATCTACACATCAATATATATAAAACAAGTAAACAACAAAGACCTACTATATAGCAACAGGGAACCATACTTAACATCTTGTAAAAACCTATAATGGAAAATGATCTGAAAAAGAAAATGTATGTATGTATAACTGAATCACTCTGCTGTACACTTGAAACTAACACAACAGTGTAAATTAACTATGCTTCAATTAAAAAAAAAAAAAAGGACAGTCTGAGAAACTATCCCAGCCTAGAGGAATTTAAAGAAACATACCAACCATTAATAGATGTAATGTGGTATCCTAGGTGGGATCGTAGAACAGAAAAAGCACACGAGGTAAAAGCTAAGGAAATCTGCACAAACTATAGACTTTAGTTAATGATGATGTATAAACACTGGTCCATTAATTACAACAAATGTACCATACTAATGTAAGATGTTAACAACAGGGAAACGGGTAGCAGGACGTACGGGAATCCTCTGTACTATCATCTCAGTTTTTCCATAAATCTAGAACTGTTCTAATATATAAAGTCTGCCTAAGAAAATTTGGAGGGAAGGAAAACAGAAACTTACCTTCACAGGATATCTTTTTTAACGCTATTGATTTGATAATATTGAGAAATTTTTACCAAAGTTGTTTAAGTATGAGTCGGATACAAAATGACAACTAGGAAAAAAAAGCACAATCTAAAAGTTGAGAGTCCTATTTTATTTGGTAGACATTCTGAGGACTTCAAGCCTGGGAGACAGACTCTCACATCCGTCTAAGGGACGTCTGCAAAGAGGCAAGGTGGGGAGCCAGGGTATACAAGAGCTTTTGCAACAAAGATCAGGTAGTTGGAACTTCAAAAGATCACTGTTAATTAAAGAAAAACAGACATCTCAAAGAACTGAGCCCTTTTTCCACATATGAGAAGATGCCAAGGTCAGGGTTCACTGAAATCATTCCTTTGATGCACAGCTCAGCTTTCTGGGGTCAGTATCCTGTGCTTTCTCATCCTGAGTCTCCTCGGGTGCACCATCTGCTGGGAGGCGGGGCGGGGGGAGTTGTAATGTGATGGCTTGATGGCTGTAACATCCCTTGTTTACTAATATGGCAGCCAACATTTTTTCCATTGCCACAATCTTAGAATTCCAATGACATATCCAAGCAGACTCACGCCCCCTGGCTACCTTTCCCTACCTGGGTCCTAATGCACCCACGCAGCCAGGTTTGGAATGACCATCCTATCCTAACCTTGAGTAACTCACAGGGCCCCACACTGCCCCTCCTCCTTGATCCCCACTGTCTCCTGCCCAGGTCACAGGCTCCAGAGCAGTGCACCACTTCTTGCCTCCAGTCCATCCATTCATCACATGTCCTGGGTGCTGAGTTTTGGGGCCTCCCCATGAACCACCTGCCCCCTGCACACTGTGCTCTAAGATGCTTCACCACCTCTAGCTACAGCCCCGCTTCTCCCTCTCTCTGCCCCCCAAAGGGGAGGAGCCTCCCTCCCAGTTCCCCCTTCCTCGCCTCTGAGACTCTTCTCTAGAAGCCTTGTCATCCGGCTTCTCATCTACCACCCTAACACTGCTCTCCCCAAGGGCTCGGATGACTGCATCATTGCTAAGCCTGAGGATGCTTTCCAGACCTCATGGGACTTCACTGTGCCCATCTTGATGCCACCTCTTCTGTCCTGAGATCCCTCGCTCTCTCCGGTCCTCCTCCAGCCTTTCTGATGTGACACTTTCACTCAAGGCTCTCATTCCAACTGACCCTTAAATGCTGCCCATCCTCAAATCCTCAGCCTCTGCAGCTTCAGACCAAGTTCTGAGAGCAAGAACACGGTCTGCACTATCTCTGTGCTCCCAGGCTGGCACTTCCTAGGGATTTGATGATTTTTTTTTTCTTTCATTGAATTGAACTCTGTTTGAACATCCTAACCATCCATTTAGAGAAGCATTCAACATGTATGAAATATCATTTGTTTATGCTCCTAAGAATTTCTAAGATTCTATCAATGAAATGTTCAGCAATTCTAACCTTCTAATATCCTTTAACATGTGGCTCTAGCATGAGTAACAACTAGCATTTATTGACAGCCTGAGCAAATTCCTTCACACACATTATTTGCCAAATCTTATTCCTAAGGACACTAATAGCACGTGTTTCAAAGGAAAAGGATCCAGTGGTCTAACAAGTATAGGAAATCCTGAGTTAAACAAAGCTTGCTGGAGTTCTTTTCTGCAGGACTACACATCGAAAATACTCAAGAGGAGAACATTTTTTTTTTTTCAAGAAGAGAACATTTTATGTATCGTCCCAAAACTAAATGGCAGGGGCCCAGTGATGGGCTGATAAACAGTTGACAACTGGCTTTTGAAGGGAAAAGATCCTGTTTATAGCATTTGCCAATCTCCTTGGTGTAAACACTTTCCCCACATCTTGTTTCAAGCTACCAACTCGAAGGCAGAGTTGGAAAGAGATGTGCATCGACACACCATTAGTATTTCCATGATTAGACAGGATCAACATAAAAACTCAAGAACATGGTGAAATGCAGTAAAATTATTAGGAAGCAAAAAATGTTGAGTACATTACCTTCATTTTTAATACAGTTCATTTAATTGTAAGCTTATATAACTGATTTTTCAACAATCCCATACACTCACACAGGCACACACACACAAACAGCACTGCTGTCTCCAGCTCGCAGCGCCTCTCCTCCTATAGGTTAAATCGAGTGTGAACCGCAAAAATGCCGAGTACCAGCTCAGAGGAGAGTCTGCCGGCAAGATCTTCCGCGTCGACGAGAACACAGGAGACGTGTATGCCTTAGAGAGGCTGGACAGGGAGAAGGTCTCCGAGTACCACCTCACTGCCCTCGTGGTGGACAAGGGCACCAAGATGAACCTGGAGGCTCCTTCCAGCTTCACCATCAAAGTCCACGACGTCAACGATAACTGGCCTGTGTTCACCCACCGGGTGTTCAATGCCTCCGTGCCCGAGATGTCAGGGATAGGTATGTGCCTGGCCTGTCCCTCTCCCTCTCCCCTCACACATCCCTGATCCAGAGGCACCTCTCCCATCAGCAGCTTCACTGCCTGGAACAGGATTCAGTGGGTTCCAAGCAGTGATGGGGATGCATGTAGTGCCTATTTCTGTGACTTGAAAGGAACGCTGGTCCCTAAAGACTAAACTCTGACCTGGCCCCAGACAGAGCCCTGATTGTCACACACACCACACACGCACACCACACACACGTCCCCCCACACACACACTCCACACATACCCACACACACACCACACACACACACGCACACACACACACCACACACATCCCCACACACACACACTCCACACATACCCACACACACACACACACACCACACACATCCCCCCACACACACACTCCACACATACCCACACACACACCACACACACACACACACACCTTGTTACTCTTTGAAGGCAACCCCACCCACTGCTCTGACTCTCAGGGCTGGCATGCAGAGAGCATAGACTTCACACACGAAGGAGGCCAACTCTGCAACCAAGATAAGGAGTCACCATTAGGGTCCATGCAGGAGTCGGGGTAGGGGGGTGCGCAGTGGAGAGGGACACAGCCTCATTCCCAGGTATGTCACCAGCCTAGACCCTAGGCCACCAGAGGAGACTGTTTCTTCCTCAGTTCTACTCCCAGCCTCCAGGGGATGCAAGAAAAGAACTCCCATCCCCACCCCTTAGTCCAGGTTCTCTGGCCAGGGCTCAAGACCAGACGTTCTTGTTGAGCCTGGGGAGCCTGGAGTTCAAGGGGAAAGAGATGTGACCCCCCCAGTCTTTTGGGGCCCTTCCTATTCTCTTGTTCTCATGCTTCCAGGAGCAAAAAAAAAAAAAAGGCAGCTCTTCCTCTGTTTCTCCCCATGACACCAGACACTCACCCCTCCCTCATTTCCCCCATAAAGGAAAACCACCTGTTCTCTTCACCCTTCACGTCTGACTGGGCTGGGCCTCCAGCACTGCCAGCCCTTCAGTGCCAGGCAGGCTCCTCAGAAAACAGGAGCTAGGGGAGGAGGTTCAGGGAACAGCCTGAGCCCCATCTGCCCTCACCTGGGAATGGGGTGAGGGGCTGACAGTCACAAGGCAGCAACCCCGGATTCTCTCCTGACAGGGACCTCGGTCATCCAGGTGACTGCAGTGGATGCAGATGACCCCACGGTGGCAGACCACGCCTCTGTCGTGTACCAGCTCACGAAGGGAAAAGAAAACTTCGACATCCGTGGTCCTGGTCTGTGTGACTAGCCCCCCCAGGCAGCACTGGCTGGGAGGGGGTGGAGGTGCAGGCACAGAGGGAAGCCCAGTCTGACAGGTGTCACCAACCACTGACGCGCACTTTCCTGCAGATGCGGTCGGTCCCACATGTCAAGACAAGGGGACTGGGGAGGGCAGGAGGAGGCAGACATGAATTCAGGACGTGAATTCAAGTTGAGGGGACAAAAATCCAGATGCAAGCAGTGACGCGAGAGGTGGACGAGAATGCTTGTTGGCAGCTCTGGCTATGGAACCACACAGATCTGGTTTCTAACCCCATCTCTGCTGCTCACTGCTTCTAAAGACCTTGGGCAAATCAACCAACCACTGAGCACTGGCGAGTCCTCATGGTGAAAACGGGGAAGGTTATAAGCATGCACCTCATACAGGAGCTGTGAAGTCTGAATTAGATGACGTATAAAGAGCATGTGGTTCATTGTCACTAGCCATCCCATGTGACCTAAAAAACTGTACAGACTGAGTCTTGGGAGAAAGACCGAAGTCCAAGAGGTCAGGCCTGGGGCATGCCACCATTCAGAACAATGGCAAATACACAGTACAACCTACGCTGCACCGAGGCCTAACCCATGACAGCACTTTGCTCAGTCTGAGCCTAGATGTGGCCTCAGGCTCTTTCTCAGCCCATAGTGGACCAAAGTGCTTGTGTGGCTTTGGCCTAGCAATGCAGGGCATGGAGATGGGTGGTGGATCTCGCCTGGCTCTTGGCCCTGGCTGCACAGGGAAGTCACCCAGGACCTCTGAAGTCACGGCTCTCTGAGTAGTGTCTGGGCATCCGTATTTTTTAAAAGCTCCCCAGGTAACATGGTTCCTGACAGGACACATTTTGCAGGACTCATTGTCACCATGAACAAAAACCTGGACCGAGAGATGCAGGACAAGTACGAGGTTGTGGTGGAAGCAGAAGATGCCCAGGGCCGCCGGGGGGAGTCAGGCACAGCCACCGTGTTCATCACTCTGCAGGACGTCAACGACAACTTCCCCATCTTCACCCAGAGTGAGCCCCTCTCCCTGGGCCCTGGCAGGGTGGGGGGGCTCTCAGGGAGGAGGCTGGCGTCCATTTACCTCTCCCTCCACCCCAGAGTGGGCCTACATCAGAGATGCCTTCCCAGTGCTCCCCGTCTCTGCACATACTCCCAAGGCTGCACACCTGGGCTGCCAGGACGCCCTCCTGGGCCATCAGCAGGTCACACTCCCTGTTGTGTGTCACGTACCCAGAGTCCCACTATCAGACAGGACCAGTTTCACCAGATCCCATGACCTCAGGAAAACCCACGAGCCAGGGAGCCAGGGTTCAGCAGAGCACCAGAGCCAGGGCTGGGCCCTGACCCACCCACAGACTGATTCTCCCCACAGGAAAATGTCCAACAAGAGCTCTTCCCATGCGCTGGGTGGGCTGGGGAGGAAGGTCAGATAGATGGCTCATCACCCGCACCTCCAAGGCTGATGTCACTCGGAGGCTCAGCCACTTCAAGAACAGGCCAGTTTACCCTAAAACAACCTCACTGTATACAGTGAAAGCTCCTCAAAGGCAGGGCTTCTCTCTCTTGGCAGCTGACAGATCCCGTAGCAAAGTGCCTGACATACAGGAGGTGCTTAATAACTACCTGTCAGATGGATGAAGGGATGAAAGGACAGATAGAGTGGAACCTCTGTGCCTTGGGACCCAAAATTCCAGAGGAATTACTATTACTACTGCTGCTCCTTTATTGTGACCATTTCCTGTATCAAAATATCCTGGGATAGTATATGTGACAATTACCTTGTCTGTCTCATTAACCCAATGCCCTTTGGGGCGCCCCTTTTGCATCAGCCAGGTACACGTTTTCTGTGCCAGAAGACATCCGTGTGGGCAGCCCCCTGGGCTCTCTGTTTGTTGAGGACCCAGATGAGCCCCAAAACCGGAAGACCAAGTACAGCTTCGTGCAGGGCGCGTACAGGGACACCTTCACCATCGAGACGGACCCCACCCACAACGAGGGCATCATCAAGCCCATAAAGGTTCGCAGGCCTGCAACAGGGGCATCAGATGGGGGGCTGGGCGCTCCTGGCATGCTCAGGACTCAGCCAGGGGCTGCTCCCGGGCCAGAGGCCTCCAAAGGTCCACATCTGGGCCAGTGTGGAGCAGGCCATGTGCTCGTGGATCCTGTGACCCTGGAGCTGGGACATGGAGCCACAAGAGAACGGTCAGTCCCTTGGGCTGGGCTACCCCAGAACCAGACCTTGAGGCAAGGACTTAGGTGTATACAGCTTATCTGGGGGGGTGATCTCAGGAAGCCTCAGGAGCCGTGAGATGGAAAAAGGAGGAGAGTTAATACAGGCTCCTTAGTGAGCAGGTGATCACTGGGGGCGAGTGAGGCACAGTCACACTGGGACATCTGGGCGACTGTGTGGAATATACTTCTGAGTCGCAGCAGCTGTGGGCTGCCTGAGGGCTCCGGGGGGCTCACTTCCTGGCACTTTCTGATCTGCCCTGGGCACCGCCAGGAGAGCCCTGGTAGATTACAGGTGCTCGTGGCCAAAAGCCGTCAGTGCGTAAGGAAACAGTGGACACCATGGGGATGGGGTGCCCACTGGCACTGGCTGCTGCAGAGAGAGCAGTCAAACCAGCTGAATCTAGAAGAGGAGAGGTCTGCCAGGGGCACAAACTGCCTTCAGGATGGCCATGCTGAGGACTAGGGGGCCCAGGCCAGGGATCTCCTCCTCAGAGGGGACAGTCAAACCCATGTCCCTGAGCCAGATCGCTCCCCCAGCAGACGTCTCTGGAGTCCCTCTCTGATCCAGCCCTGTGCTGGGAACTGGATATACCCAGGGGAGTCGGACAGCCTCCATGGTACCAAGGCTCTCGGCCAGTAGGGAGAACACACACACACCAAAGGGGGCCCAGGCAGGGAGCAAAACTACCTGCGTCAGGAGGGGCAGGAACAGGCTCTATGAGGACGTCTGGTTACGTTCAGACAGGCTCCTTGATGGGGTGAGGAGGAGTGTGGCAAGCAGGCAAAAGACTTGAGCAAAGGCACACAGAAAAGGCACAGCTTTGAGGAGCTGTGGGAAGAACTGCTAGCCTGTACTCCCCTTATAGCAAGAGTATGGTTGATCCGCTTGGTTTCCCCAGTACTCAGAATAAAGCCAAGGTCAGGACAAAGCTGAAGACAGCCAGGCCACAGGCCCCTCATCTGTTTAACAGGTGTCATCCCAGCACTACCTTGCAGGGCCTGGTTCAGAGAAGGAGCTCACCACACTGTTTCCTCCCACAGCCCCTGGACTATGAACGCATCCGGCAATACAGCTTCACCATCGAGGCCACAGACCCCACCATTGACCTCCGCTACCTGGGCAGCACCTCCCCCAAGAACATTGCCCGTGTCATTATCAACGTCACAGACGTGGATGAGCCCCCCATCTTCCAGCAGCCTTTTTACCACTTCCAGCTGCAGGAGAACCAGAAGAAGCCTCTGATTGGCTCAGTGCTGGCCAAGGACCCTGACGCTGCTCAACGGGACATCAGGTAAGGGGGTGGAGGTCATGAGAATGGTGATGATCATGACCACACCCTGGCACCAAGGTTCTTACAATCAGCTGGGCTGAGCCCAGGATGCCAAGGGGGAAACTGGCTCCTCACAGCACGGACACTGGGTGTGGGCAAGGGCAGGACAAGAAGCCCAAGCTCTTCCACTAACCCACGTGGCCAGGTATAATCTTGTCCCGCCCAGGTACCCACCTAGCACAGTCCTGGCCATTACAGCTGCCCATTGTCTGCTCTACCTTGAAGGGGAAGTACAGGTTCCCACGGGTCCCATCTGGGGAGATCTGATGGTTAAGAGGACAACCAACTTGACATACGTGAAACCCCTTCACTAAATATGTTTCATTACAAGTGTCTTCCCCAAACCACAAAAGGGAAAAGTTCATTTCACACAATGAAACAACACAAAGATTTACAAAGAAAGTATCAGTAACCCTGACTTCCAGACAGCTCATGTTCATGGTGTGCTGTGATCCTGTGACCCTTTTCTCCATGACCACACAAACACCTGCAGACATTTGTGGTGGATTTGTCATTTGTTTCAGGGCTCTGATTGTTTTAAATTTTTTCTGGATCATAGTATGCCCTTTTCAGCTTCTCAGGGGTAAAGAATTCACCTCCTAATACAGGAGACGGAAGTTCAATCCCTGGGTTGGGAAGATCCCTTGGAGAAGGAAATAGCAGCCCACTCCAGTATTCTTGCTTGGGGAATCCCATGGACAAAGGAGTTTGGTGGGCTCCAATCCACAGTGCCAAGAGTTGGATGTGAATTAGCAACTAAACCACAATTATGACCATTTCATCACTACTTGTTCCTCCATCTAAACTAGGCACCTCTACCCTCTGTGACAAAAGATGTAGTTCCAGCCCATACTTTCTAGGGCCACATAACATTTTAGAGTATGAACTTCATGCAGTTTCATTTTATTCCAGAGCTGGTAGCCAACTGTGCCAGCACCACTAATCAAATAAGTCATCATTTTCTACCTTTGTTACATACTGAGTTCCTGTATATCCTTGAATCTATTTTTGAATCCTTTGTTCTGTAGCAAAGTCATTCCATTTTATTGTAGCAGCTTTCTACTAAAACTTGGTATGTATAACGCAAGTCCCTCCCCCAAGTATTTTTTCACTTTATATAACTTTAATGCATTCTCAAACATCTGTTCTTTCTTGTGAACCATAAAACTCTTGAGTTTTATAAAAAGCATTAGAATTCTAATGAGAATTGTGTTTGCATATCAGTTTGGGGAGAGTCAACGCTTCCCTGGTGGCTCAGAGGGTAAAGCGTCTGCCTGCAGTGCGGGAGACCCAGGTTCAATCCCTGGGTTGGGAAGATCCCCTGGAGAAGGAAATGGCAACCCACTCCAGTACTCTTGCCTGGAAAATTCCATGGACTGAGGAGCCTGGTGGGCTACAGTCCATGGGGTCGCAGAGAGTCGCACACGGCTGAGCGACGTCACTTTCACCTTCAATGCTCTATTAAGGACAAATGTGTCCCTCCCTTTTGACCACATCTCATAAGTTTGGGGATGACTGTTTTCATAGCCATTCTATTTTAGATAGTCTGTAATGGTAATTTTTATTTCTTCACTGATCCAATGGTTTATTTAAGAGACCTTTCTTCCCGTTTACAAGTGGTAGGGCAATTTTTTGGTTTTAACATGTTCTGTGGTATAACACAACTGTCCTTTTGTCCATTTTCCTCTATAGTATCTAAGCTTCTGCTTTATGTATTTTAAATTTTTCTATTCAGTTAACAAAGGTTTATAATTATTTTACCTCCATTATGACTTGTCTCTTTCATCCTTATGACAGTACACAGTTTGTCCTGCTTAAATATTTTGTCCTCTGCTCCATGTTGCCTGATGTAAGGTTTGTCAGTACTGTTTTCATGTTACTGATGTTCGCCTGAAATTTTCCGACCTTTGCTCTTTTTATAGATAATTTTATTTACTTATTTGGCTGTGCTGCATACTCACTGCTGCACGGGCTTTTCTCTAGTTGTGGCAAGCAGGGGCTACTCTCTAGCTGCTGTGTGCAGGCCTCGCGTGCCGGTGGTTTCCCTCGTTGTGTGCAGAGCACGAGCTCTAGAGCTTGAGGGCTTCAGTAGTCACAGTTCCCAGGCTCGAGAGCACAGGCTCAGAGTTGTGGCACATGGGCTTAGTTGTTTTGCAGCATGTGGGATCTTCCCAGACCAGGGATCAAACCTGTGTCTCTTACACTGGCAGGCAGATTCTTTACCACTGAGCCATCAAGCCCCAATCTTTACTTTTAATATTTCTAGGTCATTCGGCATTTAAGTTGTGTCCTGAAACTGGAATGCAGATGGCTTTGCTTTTCAACCGAAACTGAGAGGCTTCATGTTTAACCTATTTACATTTTTCATCATAAATGATGGGTTTGATCTTATTTCTTTTAGCCTGTTTTACATTGGCTATTTCTCAAAATTAATGACTTTTTTCTCTTCCCCATCTTTGTTGTAGTTTATTTTTTTCACATTTTTTCTCCTAGGTATTTGGATGGAATATATGCATTTTTACTTCTGCCAGTGACATTATTTCTAACTGTAAAACTTAAACTGGTATCCTGGACCAATATTTTCTACTTATAAATCTCTCTCTCACACACACACACACCACCACCACCACCACCACCACCACTGCTTTCCAATTTATGATAAAGAAATCAACAATTTCCATTTAATTCCTCCCAAGCCAGATTTTTTACTTTATTTTGAGACATTTCTTAGATGAAGCGAGTTTTCACAAAAAGTTTTTCAGGACCCATCTTGTGGGTGATATACTTCCTGAGTTCTTTCATATTTACAAATCAAAAATATTATCAATGTCTTCTAGTGCTTAACATTATGTGAATGTCTAGGATTAAGTCTGATTTCTCTTTCTTTATAAGGATGTATTTTTCTGTCTGGCCTCTCTTCAATTTCTTTACACACCTCTGAAATTCCAAAGTATCATCAGAATATAGCTAAATATTGATCTTTTTTCCACTATGCCTGATATCAATGACCTCTTTTAATATATAAACTTGGGTCTTTGTTCAGATCAAGTTTTCTTTTATTACATCATTTGTTATTTCTTCTGTTCTCTTTGTTCTGGAATTTTCCTTAGTATTAGAAAAAATATATCTGGAACATTATGGATTTTTTTCACCTCTCTTTTCTTCTCTTGATGCCTTTTTCTTAAGAGCTTTTCAAAGTTTTACTTCACAAATTTAATTTCCTTTCAATCACTTCTTACCTCTTCTGGTTCCTTTTTTTATTTCTTCCTGGCTCTTACCCAACTTATCTTTTCATTAATCACAAAATCCAATTCAAGCTGAAGTAAAGCTGACTACAGTGCCACCTGCCTCAACTCTGAAGATACTGTTGATGGAGTCTCAGGGTCCACCCTCATCCCAGTGATCGCAACAGTGCCTGGATCAAAGAGATTATCTCACTACTCTGATGCTCTCTGGGTAGTCAGGTGCAATGAGCAGTGAGAGAAGGGTGGGGGATGATGCAAGGGACAGATCCTAAAGGGCCTCGTCTGTCCTTCTGGGGAGTCTGGACTCCACAAAGAACAATGGAAAGCCATGAAATCCCTTGAAACTCTTTCCCCTGGACAGGTACTCCATCCGTAGGACCAGTGACAAGGGCCAGTTCTTCGGAATAACCAAGAAAGGGGATATTTACAATGACAAAGAACTGGACAGAGAAGTGCACCCTTGGTACAACCTGACAGTGGAAGCCAAAGAGGTGGATCCTAGTGGTGAGTGGCCCCTTTCGCCAGATGACCTGGGCTCTTCTCCTTTCCTCATTCTTTTAAAATTGGCATAAGCTGTCATTTGAGGCCTCCAGAGGTACTATAAAGCACTGCTGGTGCACCACTTGGCTGGGATGCTACAGGGCCTCCAGCCCCAAGTGTAGATGGACCAGCCATATCCATGTCACCTGAGACTGTGTTAGAAGACCAAAACGGCAGGCGCCAACCCCAGACTGAGTCAGACTCTCATGCACACTACAGTTTAAGAAGCACTGTTCCAAAACAGGCTGCCATATGTCCCTGTGATGGGAATCACATGAGTCACCTCTTAAACACAGAGCTTCTCAGATGACTCTCTGGAGGCCCTAGTCCAGAGAGTCAGAAAGAGCAGGGAATGTGCACTGAACAAGTGCCGTGTGATTTTTATTATCATGGACATTTGGGAAAGGCTGCTTTGGAGACTGTTTATGTGCCAGTTAGTGGGTTGAATTCAAAATCTGAAGCACTTGCCAACTCTAAGATTGTTAGTCTCCAGAAAGTAGGGTAACTGTTGCCAGAGGGAAAGGCAGGTGTTGGAGCTTTGCATTCTTAGCCTATGTGAAAAAAAACACAACTGCTCTCCAGGAGAAGGATCAACATTCCACACCCTTCCCGGAGACCAATGGGGCCCAGAAAAGGGGTGACTTGGCCAAAGTTCCACTGGTGCTAACCAGGAGGGTCCCTGCCTCCTGCTGGCAGCATGTCCCCCACACGGCAGCCAGGCCAACTTCAATAGACTTCTGAGTGCTTTCCAGATCAATCTTTGCCCCTTTCTTCCCCATCTAATCTCACTCATACAATTTTTAAATCTTATAGTAATAGCTTACTGTGCATTTTAAAATATAGAAAATACAAAAAAGAAGAAGAAAAGTATCCCTCTGCCATAACCCCACCATACAGCAATAGTTACTGGTAGCACTCTAGTGTGTTTCCTCTGGTCTTTTTTCTATCTGTCATTTTATACAAGTGAAATCATAGTACCCTGAATTTTTACTTAAGCTTATTCCAGAATTATTTTCTCTTGGTACTAAAATGTCTTTATTAAAGAGATTACAACTTTTAAAATGTAATTTACATGGTCCATTCTTTTAAACTGGCCCTGTTTATTAAAGCAATTTCACCCAGACTGTTTACCTTTTCAATTATTCTGTAGTTAATTTATTTAAATTGGTTTGATTACTTAAATTACTGCATTGATTTAATAATTACTTAATTGATTTAATTAAAACCTTTAAAAATACACTTATGTTGTTTCTCTTTTTGACTCTTACAAGTAATTCTCTAGCAAATATCCTTATGCATGAGGCTTTACCCCACTTCCTCTTCTGTTCCTTTCATCCAGAACGCCATCCCTGGCCATCCTTCTAAATGTCCACAGCCCCCTCTTCCAGAAAAAAGAGCACCCCTCCAGGACTCCCACCAATACACCTTCTAATCTCAGGGCTGACATCTGCTAAATCCACTGTAGTGACGAGTCCTTTCTCCTGCAGGGACTCCCACGGGCAAAGAATCCATCGTGCAGGTCCACATTGAAGTTATGGATGAGAATGACAACGCCCCAGAGTTTGCCAAGCCCTATGAGCCCAAAGTGTGTGAGAATGCCCCTCAGGGCAAGGTGAGTCTGGCTCAGGTGGGAGGGTGAGGCAGTGCCTGCCTGGGTCAGACCAAAGGGGCAGCACTTCCCGGTCACAGTCAGCTGGCACTTCATGAGCTTAATGTAACCTGTACAACAGCCTTGAGGAAAGATGACATTCCCCCTATAGATGGTGAAACTGAGGCTCAGAGAGAATGTGTAGTGAGCAGATTTGTGGGCAGGCAGGTGGCAGAAAGAGTGACTTTTGGAGACCATTGAGATTAGTGTCACAAGTGAGAGGCAGCCACAGTCAGGTCTAAACCCAAAGTCCCTCACCATCACTGAAACCCCAGCCAGCTCACCACCACCACTGATCATCCCCGTCTTCCACCCTCCAGCTGGTCGTGCAAATCTCGGCAATAGACAAGGACATAACACCACGAGATGTGAAGTTCAAGTTCTCCCTGAGCACTGAGGACAGCAACTTCACCCTCATTGATAATCACGGTGCGCCTTGAAGCAGTCAGCCTGGCTCTTGGAGTGGGTGGGGTTGGGGGTAGGGAGGTGGCGGTCAGAGATGGAGTTATTTGAGTCTTGAGATGCCAGGGTCAAGGACTAAGCCAATGAATCAGGTGCCCTCCCTGGGGCTATCAAGTTCCAAGATATTGTATACAATTCCCACCACATACCTTATTGGTCTGTGTAATGGTCAGAGCCACCCTGGCCACACTGCCAAGTCCACATGACTTTGCCTTTTCCCTTCAGATGCCCAGGTCACTGAATAGGCACAGAATAGATATGGGGTGTAGACAGCCTGGTTCACAAACTAACTAAGGGACTCCTTCCCATGGGATCTCTGTGGTCAGTACAACTGCAAATTACTCTATGACATGGAACTTTGAGGTTGCTCCCAAAGAGCCAAAATGGGACATCTGAAACCAAAATGCCAAGAATACAGTGTTTTGATTTGGCCACAATGACTGCTTAACACCAGGTGTCCTCAGGATGGGATCTGGTCTACCAGTCACATCCCAGAGTCCTGTGATGTCAGCAGTGGCCAATCAGAGCTTCTGATGAGTATGTGCTTCCCAGAGTGATGAAGCTGAGTTGGCTGGATTCCAGCCAAAAACAGACAGGCTTCCATGCTTTCTGCACCTTCCTCAGAAAAAAACATAGAAAATCCCCCTTGGGTCTAAAGAGAGCAATCCTTCCTCCAGAATGGAGTGGACTCCCTACCCATCCCTAACTGGCAACATGGTGGTTGGTGAGGATCCCACCATAGAAACAGCCATTGCCACCTCTGAGGAAGGTCAGGGACTGGGATCCCTGAGAGTGAGGGGGACCCAGGGGACCAGCCACAGACTCATCCTGAAGGGATGAGGATGGTAGCCAGGACATGCTGACAGTCAGGGCCATACCATTCAACATTCCGCAGTCTTTAGTAGTAAATAATGTAGAAAAAATACCTGTCACAACCATCCCCAGTGCCAACCTCAAACCCACCTCACAGGAGGTCAGCAATGGAGTCAAAAGCTTAAGTGTCACCCCAAAGACACCCCACATGTGATCAGGAGATAAGTTTGTTGGTCTCAGACTACTTAAAACATGAATGTCCTGCTACAATATTAAATGAGTATAGCAAGAAATCTCTAATTTATCTCATACGGTCTCAGTGGCCATACTGTTACTATTTTCTATTATAGTAGATCTGGCTACTTAATAATGAAATGTAATTGGCTTCCATTTGAAATCTATAAGACGGCCTCCTTTGCTTTTGGCTTCCTGAGTATGCCAACCCCACCCATGTGCCTATATAAAGCCTGGAGTAGGGAATCCCTGCACCTTTGACCATCACAACCTCCCAGGAGCCAGTAAAAGACACATTTTCCTGGCCTCTGCCCAGAGGCACTAAATCAGAAATTCAGGAAAGGAGAAGGGGGGAAAAAAAGGAAGGAGGAGTAGAGGGGAGGTGGGTGGGAGTGGGGTCTGAAAATCAACATGTTTAAAAATCTCCCTGGGGAATTCTGTACATGGACTGATTGGAGTTGAGAGGGAGAACCAATATTTGGGCCAAACCACAGTCCCAATTCCAGGCTGCCCAGGGAATCCTCAATTACAAGTGTAATCACTCCCCCAGTGCTTCAGGGGACCTGTGCATTGGTCTTACTTTCTAATGGATTTTCAGGGATAGCAAAAACAGCCTTAGAAGTTAGCCTAACGCTAAAAGACTTTTTAAATTTTGTAAGACTGTTTTCCCCTGATTGTTCATCAAAGCCTGAAACAATGCATTAATTAACTGAGAGTTCTCTCTTACTGAAGTAGGGTTAGGGGTCAGGTATTTCAGTTACCCATAGAAACAAAAAAGCAAGGATTTTAAGTACTGGCCAAGTCCTTCTTAGAGGCCAAATCGAAGCAGCTGCCCAAAACATCCCCTCTCTGGAGGAACAGACCAGCCCTCAAATGGCTAAAACACGAGGCAGGGGTATAAAGGGCAGACACATGGCCCAGGCAGCACATGAGCTGGTCCAGTTACTGAGGGCTTCCTGGAGGAGGTGGGCCACGCTGTCAGTGTTGATGAGAGAATGGGCACTCCAGACAGCAGCGCCTGACTCCGAGGCCTTGGTGTTTCCAGATAACACGGCCAACATCATAGTCAAGTACGGGTATTTTGACCGGGAGCGTGCCAAGGTCCACCACCTGCCCGTGCTCATCTCGGACAATGGAAGGCCCAGCCTCACGGGCACCAGCATGCTGCACGTGACCGTGTGCAAATGCAACGAACAGGGCGAGTTCACCTTGTGTGAGGAGATGGCCGCCCAGGCGGGCATCAGCATCCAGGCGCTGGTCGCTATCTTCCTCTGCATCCTCACCATCACAGGTCAGTGCGCAAAAGGATGGGAGGGGACGGTGAGGGGGCTGCGGGGGCGAAGAAAGAGGCCAGGGATCCAGGCAGGCCCAACCCTGCTGCTTTCAGCCCAAAGTGCAGCCTTGTGCCGGGTGCGAGGTCCACCTCCCTGGGTGCCGCAGGGTGGGAGTGGATGACAGGGGAGGAGGAGGTGCGGCTCAAGACCCCTTCCCCAGTTTAAAATACTTTATATAACATTCAGTCATTCAACTGACATATTTTGAGCACTTATTGTGTGTCAGGCACTGTTCTAGGCACTTTTTTATATAAAATCTCATTTGAAAAAAAAGAGGATCCAGTCTCTCTTTTGGAGAGAAATGAGAAGGGTAAAATTTCTAGTTTAAATTATCACCTGGGTGGGGCTTTCTTCTCTTTTTTTAGGATTCCTCCAGCCTTGATCTCTGTCTCTTTTTTTTTTTCCCCTTGTTTGGGCCTCAGAAATTTTAGGGACATTTTAAACCTGGCCTCAGCATAGGTTCTCCAGGAAGCAGACCCTGGGAAAAGGATTGATTTATTTGAGAAGTGGTCCCAGGAAAGCCCAGAAGGAAGAGTTGGAGTTCTGACAGGGAAAGGAGGTGCAGGGCAGTGAAGGAGATGAAGGGAGGTGAAAGGAGCTGGTGAAGGGCAAGCTGTCACACAAGCTGCCCCCACGGGTCACCAGAGCTTCTTCTCCCTGGGGGCTGGGCGGCAGCACTCACAGTCATGTTCATCTACCAGTGCCCACCAGCAGGTGGCTGGGGTTCCCCCTGCTCTTCAGCTGGGGCAGGAGCCAGCCATCCAGAGGAAGCCCTTGAGTGGTCAGAGGTCACTCTGCATCCTACAGTGACAGGACCGGGGACACAGTGGGGCACCCACATTATCTGCCCCAGGCCTTTCCTGCCAGTGGCTCCCCTGAGAGGCCCCCTGGCAGAGCCCCCCTTCTGTGGCAAAGAGGACAGACTGAGATTCCCCTCTCAATAAAAATCTGTAATAATGATGATCCTGGCATCCCCACCACACGTAGAATTGCACTTAACCTCGCAGCCACCCTATCAGATGTAAACAGCAGAGGAGTCATCACTTCCATTTTACAGACAAGGAAACACTCAGAGGGCCATCCTGGCTTGCCTAGTAAGAGTTTCATAAGTATCTCCAGGCTAGAAGGACAGAGTCTAGGGATGTTCTGGGCCTACTTCCAGGAGCTCTCTGCCCCACATGGTCCACCCCTCCTAGGGCTGGCCACCCTTATGCAGTCATACCCCTCAGAGCTCCGAGCAGGGCCAACATCACACCACTGCCTGATCATGCGACTCTGGGCAAGTGACTCAGCTTCTCTGAGATCAGTCCACTTATGTAAATGGGGATAATAATACCTACCTTGAGTAAAAGAACATGAAAACGTGCCACCACCATGCCAGAATGTACACAATAGGTGTGCTCAAGCGTGGCTGCTGCCACTGCAATGGGCGCCATGTCCACCAGCTCCGTCATGACCCACCATCCTCATCATGGCTCAGAATCTTTGCACCCCAAATTCCAACTCCATCTTTCCCCCTCTTCTGCCCCCACCTCTGGCCTCCTGGCCTTTGCAGATGACAGAGAATTTGTCCCAGTGCTAAGACGTGGGAGGTTGCAGTTAGATGGGAAGGAGAGTGGCAGGAGAAAATGAACTTAAGAGGAGGTCCACTGCGTTCCTCTCCTCCCATCCCTACTGTGGTCAGTGACACCAACAAGGATCATACCCTGGGGTGGGGGTGGGATGGACGTGACTCTGGGCTGGGAGTGAGGGTGCTGAGGGTGGACCCACCATGAGTCCAGATGGAACCAAAGCTTCTGTGTTGGCCCAGGTGTCACTGGGAGCTGGGCTGGTGCAGGGATGCCCAGGGAGGAGGGGAGGGAGCAGGTGGACCTGGGAGGTGGAAGGCAGGGGAAGCCGCCACCCGGCCTGACCAGCTCTGGCTCACTGACCAGCAGTGATCACCCTGCTCATCATTCTGCGGAGGCGGCTCCGGAAGCAGGCCCGCGCCCATGGCAAGAGCGTGCCGGAGATCCACGAGCAGCTGGTCACCTACGATGAGGAGGGCGGCGGCGAGATGGACACCACCAGCTACGACGTGTCGGTGCTCAACTCAGCGCGCCACAGCGGGGCCAAGCCCCCGCGCCCAGCGCTGGACGCGCGGCCGCCCCTCTACGCTCAGGTGCAGAAGCCACCGCGGCAAGCGCCCGGGGCACACGTGCCCGGGGAGATGGCCACGATGATCGAGGTGAAGAAGGACGAGGCGGACCACGACGGCGGCGGCCCGCCCTACGACACGCTGCACATCTACGGCTACGAGGGCGCCGAGTCCATTGCCGAGTCCCTCAGCTCCCTAGGCACGGGCTCATCGGACTCGGACATTGACTACGACTTTCTCAACGACTGGGGACCCAGGTTCAAGATGCTGGCCGAGCTGTACGGCTCGGACCCCCAGGAGGAGCTGGTGTATTAGGGGGTCACGGGCCTCTGGGCCTGGGCCCCAGACCACTTGCGGCTGGGGCTAATCGGACACGAGGCATTGAGCCCTCCGATTGTAGCACTCCTGTCCCAGCCTAACAGCCCTTCCTTGCGGGTCCCAGAGACTTCACCACCTTGGTTGGCAAAATCCAAGTTCCTGAAGCGTCCAGGAACATATTTCAGCCATGGCTACTCCCCAAATGCTGGAAAATCAAGGCTGGTATGCTGTCTGGGTTGAGACATCCATATAACCCTGTCACCTGAAATCGCGGGGTCCAACTCAAAGACTCTCTGACTCTTCAAAGCAGCTTATGCTCAGTTGCTGCAGGGGGTGGGGGGTGGGGGTGGGGTCTTTCCTTGAGGTCCCTGGGGAGGCCCTGGTGCCTGTCAGCCTGGAGGCAAAAGGCTGGACAGCATGACCGTGGGGCAAGACTCTCTGTAGCCCTGACCTACCAGAGACTGGGACCACCCATCACACTTGTCCCACCTCAGCCTCCTCACATGCTCCCAAGTACCCCCGCATTCCTCAGCCTCTCCCCAGGCCTGTCCAGAGAGAGGAAGGACCTCTTGACATCTCCCAGCCTTGGGTCCTGAGGTGACCTCGCTGGCCCGCCGTGCCTGTAACTATGCTGTACTGTGTATTGAAAATCCACCCAAGGTCAGGGAAGTGGCTCGTTGAACTCTGAAGCAACTGTGAATTCTCCCTGGAGGAGCAGTGGAGACCAAGTGTGACAAGAGACCATAGGGTGAGGGCCACCTGCACACCCACTCCCTCCGGAGGGGGCTGGGAGTCACTGTGACCCCAATTTGAGACTCATGACACCCCTCCAGTTTTGCCTGGGAAGCAGGGCAGGTGTTCCCAGAGCAAAGACTTCTCCCCGTCTCTCCTGGTCACTCGTTCATGCTCTTTTTTTCTTCCTTTCCATCTATTCTTGATCTTTTGGCTTAGTGGCACTTAGGATGTGACCCATGACTGCACAACAGAGCCGTGCCGTTTGTCTTCACACCTCACTGCTGCCACATCTCAGGGAACCCCAGCAGGGCCCCCTCCCTGCAGAAGGCAAGGCCCCTGCTCAAAACCTGTGATCACCTGTGTCTCTTCCACTTTCAGCCACATATGGAACTTTCCACCGCAAACACGTCTTGGGGAAGGGGCATCACTCAACAGAAGGGGGGAGGAGGGGAAGGAGGCAAATTCTCCAATTCACCCTCTGTCAGGGACCAAGGCTCCTACTGTGGGCAAGGCCCCTCAATTCAGGGGATTGTAGATAACACTGACTTTTAATCTTTAACTGATAACTAGTTTTTTAATATTTTTTATACTAATAATACTTAACACATTTCTAGCTCTCACAGACATATAGAATAAGGGTATTTGCATAATTAGTAGGTTGCTATTGAGGTTAACAATTTTATTTGGGGTTTTTTAGTTGGATCAAGAAATTTCTGTAACCATCTGTTTCCTATCATTGTAGTAATTGATCTAGTAATAATGACTATATATATATATATGTGTATATATATATATAGGCTACACTGGTGCATGGAACATACTGTATTTTTTTTAATAACTAAATAAAGAAAAGTCTTGAAATACGTCTCTTTCTAGAGCTAAGTGAGCTCGTGAGAAATAGAAGCACATACACGCCGCCACCACCACCACCGTCATCAGAGGAATCCAGAGTGCAAGGTGACACTTGCTGTCAGGGTTTCAGACACACACTGCAGGAAAGTGACTGCAGCAGACAATAACAAGGGACACCTCGTCCATCCTGGTCTCCTCCCAGACGCCCACACCTTCCCTCAGCCTGCACATGCCCCCCAGTCCTACCCTGACTCTACCCAACAGGCAGGGCCTCCGGCAGCTGAGCCGCCACACCTTTTCCAGGTGACAAATGGACCAGGTGGGTGAGATAAACCAGCAGTGAGGGAGGAAATCAACCTCTAATTAGCTGGCTAACAACAGTGACAGCAGCTGGCACTTCACTCGGGTGTGTGAACCCCAACACTGAGGTCCTGCCTGGAAATAAAAAATGAGAATAGGAAGCCTCCCTGCCAGACTTAGGACTGGAATTGGGGAGGCGAGAGATGAAGCTCAGGCCCCTGGCTCCTCCACCCCTGCCAGCAGCGTTTCCTGGGCAGTGTGTCTCTCAGGGATGGCATTTTGAAAACTGTGCTCTGGATAAACACTACTTCTTGGAGCTCTCAGGGGGTCAGTATGTCTTAACTCCAATTTTGTTCTAATTTCCCTTGTGATTTCTCGATCCATCGGTTATTTGAAATGTATTGTTTAATTCCCAAATATTAGTGAATTTTCTAATTTCCTTCCATTATTGACTTCTAATTTCACTCCACTGGGGTCAGAGAACTTTTATGATTTAAATCCTTTTAAAGTTTATGATTTAAAACTAGTAAATTTATACTAGTTTTATACCCTAAAACATAGCTCATCCTGAAGAGTGTTCCACATGCACTGGAGAGGTACATTATAAGCCCATATGCCTCTAACAACAATCTACTGTTGTGATGGAGTGTTCCATAGTGGTATGTTAGGGTTGTTCAAGTCTTTTGTTTCCACATTGATCTTCTTTCTTGCTACTATTTAAATTTTATTGAAAGTTAAGTGCTAAAATCTCCAACTAGTACTGTTGAATTGTGTATGTCTCCCTTCAATTCTGTCAGTTTTTGCTTCATGTATTTTGGGTCTCTGTTTTTAGAGGCATATAGGCTTATACTTGTTATATCTTCTTCTTGATGGACTGACCCTTTTAGCATTATAAAATGTACCTCTTTGTATGTAGTCACAATTTTTATTTCAAAGTCTGATTTGTCTCATATTAGTACAGTCACTCCAGCTGTCTTTTGGTTACTGTTTACATGGTATATCTTTCCTATCCTTTTCAACCTATTTGTGCCTTTTAATACAAAGTATCTTCTGTGAATAAAATATAGTTAGATCGTGGCAGTTTATCCATCCTACCAGTCTCCGCAATGTTGTCTTTTAATATAAACTGTATCTTCTGTGAACAAAACAGAGTTGGATCATGGCAGTTTATCCATCCCTACCAGTCTCTGCTATTGAAGTATTTAATCCTTTTACATTTAATGTGATTACTAGTAAGGTAGGATTTATGTCTGTCACTTTCCTATTTGTTTTCTATGTCTTGTCTTTTTTGTTCCTCTATTATCCCGTTATTGCCTCTTTTATGTTAAACAGATATCTTTTAGTATACTATTTTAATTCTCCTGCAATTTCTTTTACTGTATTTTTTGTTATTTTCTTAGTGGTTCTCCTAATGATTATACCTAAAATCTTAATCCTTAACTTAGAACAGTCCAGGTAAAATCCATACGAACTCAATTTAAGTTGTGTACAAAACCTTACCCCTAATATCTCCACTTCCTCCCCACCTCCTTTGTGGTGTCACTGCGCATATTACAGTGTTATACATTGTATGCCCACTAACATAGATTTGTATTTATTGCTTTATGCAGTTGTCTTTTAAATCATATAGGAGGGGAAAAAAGAATTACAAACTACATATACACTGTCTTTTATATCTACCTATATAGTCACTTTTATCACTGATCTTTATTTCTTCATGTGAATTTAAGTTACCGTCTACTGTCTATTACTTCAGCTTGAATGATCCCTTTAGTATTTTCTGTAGGGAGAGTTTTCTAGTGAGGAATCTCTCCATTTTATCTGGGAAAACTTGATTTGCATGTTTATTTTCTTTTTGTAGGATAGTTTTGCTAGATACCAAATTAATGGTTGATATGCCTTTTCTTTCAGCCCTTTGAATTTCATCCCATGGCCTTCTGACCTCCCTGGTTTCTGATGAGAAGCTGACTGTTAATCTTACTGAGGAAAATTTTATGTGATAAATTATTTCTCTCTTGCTGCTATCAACAGTCCCTCAGCCTGTGATTTTCAATAGTCTCATTATGATGTGCCTAGGATAGGTTCTAGAGTTGATCTTTCTTGGAATCCACTGAACTGCTTGAATGTATCTATTAATATTTTTATCAAATTTGAGAAGTTTGGGGCCATTATTTTTTCAAATATTCTACCTCTCTCCTCTCCTCTGTGTGTTAGTCACTCAGTTGTATCTGACTCTTTGAGACCCCATGGATTGGAGCCTGCCAGACTCCTCTGTCCATGGGATTCTCCAGGCAAGAATACTGGAGTGGGTTGCCATTTCCTTCTCCAAGGGGATTTCCCAACCCAGGTATTTTTTTTTTTCCATTTATTTTTATTAGTTGGAGGCTAATTACTTTACATCATTACAGTAGTTTTTGTCATACATTGAAATGAATTAGCCATGGATTTACATGTATTCCCCATCCCGGTCCCCCCTCCCACCTCCCTCTCCACCCGATCCCTCTGGGTCTTCCCAGTGCACCAGGCCCGAGCACTTGTCTCATGCACCCAACCTGGGCTGGTGATCTGTTTCACCCTAGATAATATACATGTTTCAATGCTGTTCTCTTGAAACA